TAATATCACAACACAAATAAATGATTGAGAAGTCAGTCAAGAGTATTTTTAGTAACAAAACTGAGCATCTATGATAGTCCTTCAGAGTTGAGCCTCAGGCTAAACATGCATGTTCTTGTTAGGAGGCTTGAAATCTCAGCTTGTTAGACCTCAATTAAGAGAAATATTCAGAGGGATCATTACCATAACCAGTAGAGGATTGCAGTAGAATGAAGCACATATATCTAATATCACAGATGTGGGAACAGCAACTGACAGCACTAGCAAGCAAGTTAATGGAGGTGATGTTCACCAAGCTGGGCTGTGGTAGAATAAGTCAAGGGTATTTGCACATGTATGAAACTTCCTGAAGCACTGGGACTCTCTAGTAGGCTAGCTTAGTGAGGAATTTCTTTCCCTCCTCCTGAGAGAAACACCTGGTCCCGAATGCTGTGAGTATCCATCTTTATCTGATTGCAGTATGTGTAGTGAGACAGGAAATTTTAAGTAGATGAATAGAATTTTTGACAGGTTTGAAAAGATGTTAAATTCAGAAAAGTTACTGCAAATTTTAGGCAAAACAGTGGTCACTCCTCACCAACTTTAGGAAACGGATGACACAAAGTGAAACACCCAAAGCTTGGGAATAATGGGTTCCGTGCCACAGTTTGCTTCCTTCTGGCCTATTAAACTGTTTGAAAGGAGTTCGGCTGTTGAATGAAAATGGAAAATGAATAGAGGACATGCAGGTTGAAATGTGGCAGTGAGAAGAGGAGACCTAATGCAAAATACAGGGAGCATGGTTTCTAAAATGAAACAGTATGGGCTTGGTAGTGTAAGAACAGAGGAATTGCTTGGGTACATATTTTAAAAATAAAATTTAAAAAACTGCAAGTCTATGAAGAGTTGCTCTGGCAAGCAGAGAAGGTAGGTAAAAACAGATTTGGGTTCACTGTAGCGATGCTATGAGATGTAATATGAAGACACTGAGAAATGCTAGTGAAGTTGTCTTAGAAATCAAATCCATTTAAATCAATGCTATTAAAATTGATGTGACAAAACAGCCTTTTAGGGCACCTGTAAAGACCTACTTGTCTCTCTTCATAAGACTAGGAGTTCGCCAGCTCTGGTGATCTTATGATGCACCAGGGTGTTAATATCATGTGAAACCTGAGGTGAAATAACACGTTTTGTTACGTGAATAAAAATGATTCAAGAGGTTGGAGACAGTCAAATGCAAACTAGAATCACAGATCAAAATGAGTGTGTGTTCACAGTTGTGCAGTCAGTCCTTTCTTACTGTCTGACTTCCAAGGTCTTGCTAGTTTTGCTATTTTTTAATAGTTTGTGGTTTAAAACCCTTTGCTGGTGAAGGGACTGGGAGCTGACACACCTCAAAGTGCTGAACAACTAAATACGCTTTTCGGTCAGTTGCTTTCCAAATGCAGAAATACTGGACTGAGATGTTTCTTGCTTTAAACAAAGTATGACCTGATGGTACCAGGTTTACTGGCATCGAGACACTCTAAAATGAGGATACCAGGCTGTGATTCACAGGAATACGGCGAGCATGTTATTCATCAGGTCACCCATTCTCAGAACTTCGGAAGATGAAGCAGCTTTGCTTATTGGTTTTATGGGGTGTTAGCTTGCGTATCTGACTCGCCTGCCTAATTAACATGTCTACTGGCCTTTGACCCTAAATGCATAATTCATCCGTCTTGCTTATCTCCCAGGGATAAGTATCGAGAAATGTACAGTATCAAAGATTAAATATTTACGGTCCATATCCTGATAATCAAAGTAAAGCACTGGTTTGTACGAAAGATCAGGGCCAAAAAGCCCTTGATACTTCAACGACCTGACTGTTTCCTGAAGCTGAGTTAAGATACAATATTGACAGTTATGAACCATAGTCAAGTGTTTTGCTTAATTCTTTTATCTGATCACTCTTGTATTTTTTAACATTCTTAGTCACTGGTATTTGTTGTGTTTGTTTTAACTCCATCGGGTACCTTACAGTAAATTGTATGAATTAAAGAACCCCCAATGTATTTATGGCTTCTTTGTAAACGAATTCTTCAAGTACCTAAGGCAACCTTGTTGTCTGAAATATATATTCAAAAGTATTTTTAGTGCAGTAAGAGTAATTTCATTAATTCAGAGAAACCCTGTGGTTTTCATCCACTTTTATTGTTCAAAATTAAAAGCAACTAGTTCTCATTTTGAATTGCTCCAAAGGTTTCTCATTGATATCGTATGTTACAGTTGTCTGTAATAAGTAGGGGAAAAAAGCTTCAATGCTAATAATTTTTGCACAGTGCTATAGTCAGCATTAGAACTTCAGTTTCAAAGTTAGCCTTGGCATGGGCATTGTACGCAATCCCAGGATCGTTTACTGGAATGGACAGTCTCGGCATAGATGGACAGAAGTAATCAGGCCATAGCATGGCAGAGCTTTGCAGAAGCTGGTTTACTCTGTTTCTCAGCACTGTGATGCAAAGCAGACATCAGCTTTACAAAGACTTAATGGCTTAAGATCATTAAACAACCTGGTATTCAGATTAATTTAATTAGTTGGTATCAATCCCCTGCATTCTGAACTGATTTCTTTGTGCGCACTTAAAGCTTTTCCCCTGTTACTACTTAGTGTAAGCAATAAAATATGAGACTGGAAACCTATTTTGTTTTTATTTCTCCTGTCACTAGGGTTCCAGAGCTGAAGGGTCACCAAGCTGGAGCTTATTTATTATATTTGGTAATAGGGACTGGTAATAGGTACCAGTGTGAATAGGTAATATTACCACTCTGGTAATAGGGACTTTGATGGTGTCTATGTATTCCATAGAGACAGGAAGGAAGACTCTCTCCTACTAGTATGAGTGCTTTTGCAAATCTGTGCTATGTGTGTAGTTTACCGGATTTATTGTCATGGCTCTGATTTCTGAAGCAGTGTATGAGAGATCTTTCATGCTACCTTCTGTGTCAGCTTTCTTAGGCTATGTCTGAAATAGAAGCAATCTTAAATATACTGCTTTTGTTACTGCTTTTATCAGGTATCTTGTTGTTGTGCCAGTAACAGTGCTAGCAGCCTGATTCTTTGCTTTTTTGTTTTGTTTGCATGTACCATGCCTTTCCTAGGGTAATGTGTTTCTGGGAGGAGAAAATAGGCTTCAGACAGAGCTTTCCCGAAATGCTTCAATAGTGGGAACAGCAGCCACTGGATAGTTGCTCTTGGTAGGTGGTCGTACTTGCCATGACAACATAATCTGAGAAATGGGATTTTAATAGTGGCATCAGGAGTTAGGTGTTTTATATTGCAGCATCCACAGTGCACCCAATTTCACTCTATTTCTTCACAATTTTGCTTTTGAGGTGCATTTTTTTAAGATCTTGAGATAATGAAACTAGTTATGACTATTGACAGTGAACACAGTGCAGCCATGCTTTATCATTTTATCAGAAGGGAGGAGTCTGCTTAAGAGTGGCTGAGCATGTGATCCTTTGTCAGCATCAAGCCTGCTGAATTTGTCTGTTTTAAATGTTCTGCCATTCAACTTATTTTGGAAGAAGGAGTTTTCAAAACAGTGTATGTCACTTCCTTTAAAAAAACAAACCCCGAAGAAAAAATATATACATAAAAAAGGACCTTGATGTATATATCTTCTGTTGGGTTTGTTTTCTTTTTCCTTCTCTCCCAGAAAAGAAATGACAGACAAAAAATAAAAAGCAATACTGAAACTTACCCAAAACACATCTCTTTTTTTTTTTTTTTTTGTTGGAGAATATTACTTACCTTAAAGCATATTTTTGCAAGACGCTACTTCTTTACATAGCTCTGTTTGAGATTTCTTCTTGCTATTCTAAATAATATGAAAGTGTTCACAAGTTTCCATCTCATAGTGTTACTCAGTTTGTTTCTGAACGACTCTGTGCACAATCAGATCTTAATATTCTTTGGAAGATATAACGTGTTACTAGGACACAACCTTGAGCTATGCGTTTGCAAGAACTAGTGAAAAACTTTCTATATAGACTTCATGTGTAGGATCCAGAGCTTTTGTAGTCTGTAGGTGGTAATAATGAAATAGGGCATCTTAATAGATATCTTCCTGCACTATGTCAAACCTTCCCTGAGGGCAACATTTGCTTTTCAGCAAAACCCATTTTTTACTTTTTTTCTGGAAAAAACATGGCCATAGAGTACTGGATGGATACAATGAAATTTCTTGTGGATTTATATCTTATTAGCATGTATAGGTTGAAAGATCTTTGGAACAGGCTGTTTTTCTGTTTCTAGTTTCAGACAATATATAGTCCATTGTTGTCCTGCTCTATAATGAAAGCTTCTGGTTTTGGTCATAATAGAGATAATGCTCAATGGGTTACTAATTTTTCACTTTAAGTTAGTTAGAATGAGTGCTAAATGATCTGCCTCCATTTTCAGTCAGCAGATATTTATTATTTGGGTCTTTAAATAACAACAATTAGGAAGAAGCTAGAAAGGTAAACAATGTGCCTGATATGTGATTTTTATTACTGTCAATCATAGCAATCTCTGCTCTGTGCCCTGTGATATGGACAACTGATATTCTTTATGTAAGGCATTAAAGAAATCTAATTTATCCATAGAAAGTCTTCTCTTCATGTGCGCTTCCCAAAAAAGTCTCTGAAAGGGTGGCCTATCTGCCAAGTAGAATCCATCCCGTGCTCATAAAGGGTGCAAATAGAGCTATGAATAAATTTTGTGGATCAGATGGGATTTGGGCTGAAGGAAACTATAGGATTAGTTAGAACTACAAAGCTGTCCAGTGGATGTTTTTGAAGAACTGTCCCTTGTTTAGATGAGTAAATGCGGGGGTTTTTTTTCTGAAAATCTGGCCATGTAACTTTAAGGCATGAAGTCATCCCATCTCTTTTCTTAGAGCAGTTTCACTATAGTGCAGGCTGCTGTCAGAAAGAGCCCTTGGGGATGAAGGAGCGGAAAGAACCCAGTAATATTCTGAAAGGTAGAATGGCAACCATTGATGTATATGTAGGCTAAATGAGTTGTTGTTTCCCTGGGGCTTGGAAGTTAGCTATTAATTCAGTTTGCCTAGGCATCTTTGGCATTCAGTCTTTTTGTAGATTAGTATGTTATGGATGGACACATCAGCAGTGGGGCGAAAATCTTAGAGAACCAGATAAAAGGTTGTGTTAGAAATTCTCTGAGCAACAGTAGCTCTGCTTATTAATCAAGTATATTTTAAAAAATAAAAGACTAATTAATGGATTTTGAGTCTAATGTAAACAATATTCTCTTCCTTGCCCTGTAACATGCAGTAAGTGTTTGGTGGACTAATTGGAATGCATTTACAAACTGGGATATATTGAATGCAATTATTACACATTACACAGTGAGTTGGGCATAATAAGGGCCCTTAAGTAATGACTTTTCATTGCTAAAGTACAACTAGACGTGAATGAAAATGTCCAATGTCTCCCATGTGAAAGAAATTGAGCCGCAAATAAGACCTATTTTTACCTCTGTTGCTCCAGTGTTACCAGATGGATAGTCTTACTTCTTAAGATCCGCTTGGGGTGCACGAAGTGTAATGGCCTTATGGCTCTTCATGATGTTGGGCTGTCAGTGATAGATACGATTCTCTGAAAAACTTACAGCCCCCAGAGCCGTAATGTGTTTTTCCATCTTCTGCTTCTCAGTGGCTGAGAAGACCAAAGAGCAAGTGTCTAATGTTGGGGGAGCTGTGGTGACAGGAGTGACGGCGGTGGCCCAGAAGACAGTGGAAGGAGCAGGGAACATTGCTGCAGCCACTGGCTTGGTGAAGAAGGATCAGTTGGCCAAACAGGTTGGTTTGTTTACAGTCTTTTCCAGATGAGGAAGTGAACGATGAGCGGCCTCTCTGAACTGAAGGGCAAATGGAGTGTTTTCTTTTGTGTCTGTCAGTGGTATGAGTGCAGGATGATTTGTGTTACGCTAAACAAACGAACAGCAAAGGAAGTATCTGCTGTTTATAGCTTGTATTTTGAGTGACCTGCAGGATTTGGGAACTTGAGTACGATTGGACATCTAGCTTTGCTATTCAGAAAAGTCTTAACAAATTTGGATCACTGTTTAAAGTGTGATCTAGTGGTGATTCTGAACTCAGCTGCCTCCAGTGGGGGCCAGCGGCTGTAGGATCGCTGTACAGTTGAAAGGGAAGATAACTATTTTTCCAAATAACTCAGGATTGAAAAGCAACCCGCTAGAGCTGAAAGGTCAAACAGCAAACCTCAGGTTTAACAGCAAAATTTGTATCCCCTGCAGATGAACAGCAGAAGGGATCGTGTACCAATCCACTGACTGGTTAGATACATTGCATCTAAAGTCAAGATTTAGCTGGAGAGTCACTATCTTCCATGAATATAGTGACATGAACTCAAAAATGCCTCCAACTATTCTGAACTCTTCAGATTAAATTTGCTCTAGCTCATCCTAAAAAACACCCTGTAGATATTTTTATTCCAGCACTGAGGTGAACATTAAGTATTTGCACAATACCATGAGTTACTACACTTCTGTTGCTGGTACACTGCAGTCATATTCTTCCACTTACACTAGGTGAAAAGTGACCCCAGATAGCTGGTGGGAATGATGCTTTCCAAAATGTGTATAGTGTTGTTTGGACACAAAAATAACCCAGAAGAGACAAATACCTCCTTTTGCACTGTTTTCTGTATGAACATTTAGGTGCTAGAAAAAAATAGAATTATGAATAATATTAGTATTTGCACAAAAATATGCATGTCATATGGATTTAGCATGAAGAAGTTCTATGGTGTATCTTATTTCCAGTTAGTGTCCACAGGAGCTGTTAAAATTGAATCCTTAAACTCTTTTTTTAATCCTTATCTGTTACTGAAGTGTATTCCTGTCTGTCTGGCAAATCTGCTTGGTGCTTCAGTTTGTGGGGGGGAAAAAGGGGTATTACATTGTGGTAGGCATTCACTCCACCATGGTGGATTGGTCTTGAAAACATCTCACAAGTGGTTTTGTTCTCTTTCAAAGCAGTTTTCCGGGGAGGGGGGGGTGCTGCTAGTCCTTTTTTTTTGTTCAGCTATAAGTAAAACGTGGCCATGGCCCATTGTAAAAGCTATGTTGAAGATTTACAAAATCGAGTATCTAATAAACTGCCAGGGGATACATGAGTATGGCCTGGCCACAGTAGTCTATGCCCCTAGTTTCTGCTAAAGCTCTTTTGTAGTTTTACGCTGAGAATATTCTCTTCTGTTCATAGCTCTTCAAACTCAGCGTCATAAGGATCATCATTGCTGTAATACGCAATTACCTACTTTAGTATTGGCCATACCTAATATTTTTTTATCTTAATGTTAATATATACACATTGATCCTCATAAAGTATGACGCAAATCTCTGCTGACTTTCATTTAATTCTGTTTTGTATATTGTTAGTCTTAAATATGAGTCATGATGGCTGTAACAGAATAAAATCACATCTGTGAAGTTAAAGAATATCCATAATGCATATGCATATTATTCCACAGCCCTATAAATAGCATCATTATTCTGAACTGGTGCTTTGTTCTTTAGATATGCAAAACCATTCATTTGATTCTTGATACTGGCATTTTTAGACTGGGATTCTCTGTTATCTACGCAGTATGGCCACCTAGCTGATTAGTATCTACGGCTCCTAGCGGACTGCTCTGCATCTCTGTCTCTTACTGGTTTTGCAAGGGATGAATAACCATTTCAAAAGTGTTAAAATCAAAATTGAATTGTGTAAAGACATTCTAAAACCTAATGTTTTTGCATTCTGTGCAGTTCAGAGGCACATGAGAGAGATTTTTTGCTTGGATTTTCTGGGTAAACTGACAGTTGGGTGGGGACCAGGCGTGGGCATTCAGAATACCGGTGAGACACGGGTCCCTTGCAGGAAACAGGGTGAGTCTTTCTGAAATAAGAGAAGGTGCCAATCAGGCACACAATCAAAATATCAGTGTAACTTTGTGTATTTTATCTCTGTAAGGTTATGTCTTTTAAGGCTGCGATATCGCTAGTCTCCTCTAAACTGGGAATAAGAGACCACGACTAGCAAATTCATTCCTTGAGCTTCAGCATGGCTAGCCAGTGCCTTTGGCAGATTATTCTTCCTATGGACATCTATTTGGAGTTGTCCTAAAGCAAATGGCTGGGTATCCCATGTGCAAGATGAACACTTACCTTGCTTACACAGTGTAAGCAAGTCATGGGATTTGACAGGGAATTGCAAATGAAGCATATCCATTGAAAGTGGATAGAAGCATGATTACAGGCTATTTTTCCACAGAAGGCTGAAAGGCATTAGCCAATAATCTGTTATTTTAGTTGGCTTCTAAACTTGTGACAAATTATTTCTTCCAGTTCGCATGGACCCACATAATCGAGTCCAAATCCTCTAACTGAACGTAGCAAGCAGTGACCTCCTGAGGCCCTTCCAACCCGAATTATTCTGTGAACTGCTATGAACTCAACCTCCATGCAACTGGAGGAGTTTGCTTATTTGCCATCAATTACAGGATCAGGGACTGAAATAAATATAGAATCATAGAATATCCCATGTTGGAAGGGACCCATAAGGATCATCGAGTCCAACTCCTTGCTGGGATCAGCTGTTTCCAAACATGTGTCTGGAAGCCCATCTAAACTAATGGTCGTTGCTGGGATCTGCTACTAGGGATCTTCTCGCCTGTGTGAGAGCCTGCAATCTTGCACGGTGACTGGTATTTTTCTTGTGCCGTGATGGAAGTCTGGTCTTGACTGTCAACTAATTGAAAACAGTCGTAGTGTTTCTTCACCTGTGGGTACAACAATATTTATGCAAAGGAAATACTAAGGAGATTATGGGTAAAATGCTTTCTCGAGAAGTTTGTCCGAGGTTGCCTAGTGCAGCCTTTAATACTGGCATGCTTTGGACCATGAAGCACAGGTTTAACCATCCAACTGAGGCCGGGCTGGAGGGCTGCTGTCACACCACTCCGTCACCTGCCTGCCCCACAGCCAGTGTGAGCAGGCAGTGCGGAGTGACAGCTGAGACTAGTGAGTGACAGGGCTGACTTGATAGTGCCTATCTGAAGACTGCCTGGGGGATTTATGCCTTGGCAGAAACTCACTGCTTAACACAGCAAGGGTAGTGGCAGTTAGTAGGCTTGAATTAATTATAAAAGGGTTAACATACTGCAAGTAGCATTTTAATAAGTGACAAAACAATTCTTAAGATTATTTAGATTCCAAAAGTTTTCATGCGTTGCCAGCATGCATCTACTCACAAATTTTCTGATGGACACTAGCATTTAGCATACAGCCTATTAAAAATGGATTAAGTCTTTATAAACTAGTTGTAAATTTGAGCCTAATTTTAAAACCTGCCCGTAATAATACTGTTATTTATAATCATTGGGACTCTTCCTGGAAGCAGAAAAGAAGTTGCTTCTCTCTTTCATGCTTTCTTCCCTCTGTTAAGAGAAGATAAGCTGAAGTACTGGGTTATACAGATAAAACATTTATTTTAATTTTACTCTGTGTCTGTGCATGTTTTATTTCTGTGTACAGTGTGAGTGTGCTTCTAAATTAATTGAGCTAAAAAAAAGGAAGATTAATGATAATTGCATTTACTGTAGAAATGAACGTGTTTTTTACTAAGTTAAGAAAGCTGTGGAAACCTTTGAATATTATATTTTCAGCTCAGCATGAACGTATAAATCCAGATAGTGTGGAAGGGTACTAGCTAGTGAATATCTAGTGTATAATATGCCTGAGAACAAAATATGGATTATGAAGTTTATTATTTTCAGATAGGTAATTAACTAATTGAAGTTCTTAACCTCACTAAATTCATGTCATTTGGTTCTATAGCATCTCAAGAATAAATCAGTTGGTAAGTTCTATGATTTCTATGGTGAATAATTTTGTTTATACTGTTTTAGCACCAAAATCCCTAGTCAAGCTGAAACCTCAAGGTACTTTGAGTACCATGCAAAAATATAGATTTTTGTGTGCTGTAGATCTTACTAAAGCAAATAGAATAGCAGGCCTTGTCCTTACCATGTTTGGAATCCATATGATCTATATGGATCGCGTTTGGTATCTATATGTGCTAAAGCCTTTTTCCTTCTAGAGTGTCTCAATTTAACATGTTTACAGTAAATAGCACTGTAAACACAAGCATAAAATTACAGTAGCAAATAACATGTAGATAGGTAATACACTTACAGAGCAGGTAATATAGCTCATTGGTTCAATTACCAAGCTTTCAGAGAAAAAGATGACTGTAAGTGGGAAGACAGTCAATTTGGGCATTAGGCATTTTTTTTCCATAGAAAATATTATTTAACTAAAAGCCCTTGCTAATTGCATTTAATATGAAAATTAATACAGAAGAATGAAGGCGATGGCAACTTTGCTATACCTTCTTCCCTTCCTTCCCAGCCTGTATTTCCTGGGACTCCTTAGAATTGAAACACAGTCTTAGCATAAACATTCAGCGCAGTGGACCCCACAGGTATAGGGTATTTCTTGTCTTACTACTTTTCTTGGCCAGAATAGTTAGTCTTAAGAACACCTGATTTTTACCATGGACCATTATACATTGCTTAGAGCCAGGGTGAATCCACTTTGGGGAATCATCATAATCAAATATACCAATATGTAGGAGCCTTTTTCATCCTTTTTACAGGGAAGCTCCATGAGACATTGTGCACTGCTGAGAATAAAGACATGATGAAACACCTTTTTAATTTTGATGAGATGAGAGCAACTCAGTTTTGATTAAGACACCCAGCATCAGAGTGTACTCCAGCCAGCTATTAT